CCAACTTTTCTTTTAGATGAAGCAGTGGCATATTAATTGCTTAGCTCACCAGGAGAATGGGGTGTACTCCTCAGCCGTCAAGGTGAGGAGGGGCAAGGAAGTGTCCTCAACAGTGGGACTCGGTGGGAGTACTGTGCTCTGAGAGCCAGTCAGGGGCTGTCTTCCCATCACACCCAGCACTGACTCGGCAATCTTCACTGAGTCCTCCCAGGACTGCCTTTTGTGGCCTTCAGTGGGCAACCTCTGCCTGTGTACAACCCAGAGGGGTAGCAATACCAATCCTGGAGTGACCCTAACCTCTGTTCCACGATCTTTGGTACACTCTGTCTCTGGGACACACTTCCGAACCAGAATGCACACGGCCTGAGAGCACACATGCGGCCAAATGTGAGGCCCAGGCGGCCCTGCCCTGTGGCATCCAGGGCCAGGCAGGTTCAAGCAGGCATCCACCAGGAGTGCAGGGCACATTTGCCATGCAGCTTTGAAACTGGACTGGCCCACAGTCACACACAGCCTTCCCTTTACCTGGAATGGGATTCCACTTCCAAAGGGAGAGGGTACGCCTCCGCCTCCCTGCTGTTCTGAGGTCAATGGGGTGAGGTCCTGTCTGAGTCACCAGGGTAGCTCCTCCAGCCTTCAGAGACTGAGGTCACTACACACCGGCTGTCCCATGGACTCTGTGGGTGCTGAGGGTGCACAAGTGCAGTCCTGCTACTTTCCCCAACTACTTGGGTGTGACCTCCTCTTCTTGGGAATGAGCTTGTAGGGGGTGCTCTTCACCCACTGAAGGGTGCCCTATTAGACTAAGGTGACCATATTTTAACATTGGTAAAGCGGGACACCATTGATAAAACTCATATCCTGGTGAAATAGCCACATGGCAGCGGAAAACCGTATACCCTAGCTTGTCATGCATTCTTTCAAAAAATCAGGACTTTTAAAAAATGCCACAGGACGTGGGGAAAAATTGTTAAAAAGCGGGACGTCTGGTCATCTTAGATTACACTTCAAGACAGATGACAAGCCATGCTGGCTTTGTAACTGTGCTGCATAGACTTGACAGGCACTGTTTTCACGGTGCACCCAAACCCTGGGGCGAGGGGGGAGGGGCGGGGTGTGCTCCGGCGCAGAGTGAAGGAAGCTGCTCTGCTCACTGCCTCTTGGAGGCCCCACGTGACCACAGCCCATGATTAGGGTGGAGGACACCCGTGGGAGAGTTTGTACACAGCGCCCCTCAGCCTCCTCCTGCATTGCCCTGACCAAGGACTCACGTGCAGGACCTCATGGCGGAGACCAACTGGCTCCACGCAGCTGACCAGACGCAGCAGCAGATCCATCATGGCTGAGGTGCCCAGGTGCCGCAGCACCGAGTTGATGAAGCCATCTTTCTTCTTCAAAAACACAATTACCTGAAATCAGTTACACCAATCAGCAAGCAGGCCAGGAACTCAGTGCACCACACAGAAATGGGGGAGCTATCAGGATGGGCCAATGCATGCCAGCAGGGCCAGGAAGCCTGATGGAGGACCGGGTGGGGGGAGGGAGGGAAGGCACCCGTGTACAACACTCACTGCTGTCAAGTTTCCATATGCCATGAGTGGACTGGCACCACTCCGTGCACACACACTGACATGAGCACGTGGTCCTAGCTCACAGGCCAGAGCCTGTCAAGGAGGAAAGAGCAAGGACACTGATCAGTCAGCGTGCTCTGGAGGGAGGAGGTACACTGAGTCTTTAGAATGGACAACCATGGTGTCTGTCCCACACCAACTGTGAACTGGTGCCACCGAACTTTAGTCAATGAAGCGGCAGAAGAGGGCAACACAGAGCCCACTGATATGACACTGTGGGCCACTCAGGTGCCTCAGATGAGAGAGCAGTGATAGGGAGCCCACGCTGAGACCCACTACACACCCAGCTCAGCCTGCAGACAGGAAGCACCCACAGCACCCTGGGGGCTACGGCAGGCCCCTTCTCAGGGGGGGATCCTGGGAACAGAGGGGATCCACCTAGCTAGGGATCTTAGACCCAGCACTTGCGGTGAGACAGGAGGCAGGAGAAGAGAGTGAGAGCAGAGAAAGACCGGGAGGGAGTGGCAGGAAGTGGCAGTGCAAGAAGGGGGAGGGTTCTTTGTGAAAAAATGAACAAACTCTTAGAAAGTGTAAGAACAAAACCCAGGTGGATCAAAACAGAGGCATCATGACAGACCCTACAGATATCAAAACCATCACAAGGGGGAGAGGGGAGATTCTGAGCAATGTTATGTCAACAGCTGTGAAATTGAGGGCTGTCCCAACAACTCGTCCCAAGTGTGCATGATGAAGCCTTGCCATCCTTGCCTCCAAGGGCACTCAGGCAGCACTTCTTCCTTTCCCTGTTCTTTTTCTCTTTTTAACAGTTTTATTGGCAATTCAGTCATGTCATACAATAATTCAGTCATATCAAGAAGAGTTGTACACTCCATTAACACATTCAATTTTAGAACATTTTCTTCCTTGTACTCATTGTTATTCATGTAATTGTTTTTTTTAATTGTGGCAAAATATATAAAACACAAAACAATTCTCCAATTCAACTTGTTGAACTACATGTATAATCAATTATATGTAAAATTCAGTGCCATTGATTATACTTAATATCAACCATTATTGATATCCTTTTCCAAATTATTCCACCACCATTAAGATAAACTCAATACCCTCTAAACAAAAACGCTTCCTCCTTCACTCACGGTAACCATTGGTCAACTCTTACTTTTTTTTTCTTTTCAGTAGTTTCTTTGATATAATATTTGCATATCATACACTTCCATAGTTAAATAGCTTTTTTAAAAAAAATCGTTTTCTTAGGGGGCTCATACAACTCATCACAATCCATAAACATACATCAATTGTGTAAAGCACATTTGTATATTCACTGCCCTCATCATTCTAAAAACATTTGCTCTCCACTTAAGCCCCTGGCATCAGCTCCTCATTT